GTATCTGGAATGAATTTTAGGTCTCTACGTCCATCCCATGGGGAATGGGAGCAGTAACAAAGGTGTTGCGTTTATATTTTTGTTGAGTGTATCAGGCACCTCATTACTCTGCAACTCTCTGAGGTGTGCCACTCTGTGATTCCTAAACGCTTCCATTTTGTGATGATACCTCTTATCTTTGTTTGTGGGAGAGCAGACTGATTTACGGCATCATATTACAGGACTGACCCATTCTTCCAGATGTTTGTAAAGGTACACTGGATGGCTGGGGGCTTCGTTTTATGCACTTCTGACAAAGGAAGTAAAAACACCTGATTTCAAAGATCAATAGGTGCGGTGCAAACTTCTGTCGTCTTGACTGGTAGATTATATAAACTGTAGGAGCTCTGCAGTTTTAAAACTAAAAGGTGGAGAGTAGCAGGCATAGTGTTTGGGAGCAACAACATAGTGCATCCTGTACAGTGCAGCTGGGAGTGCTCGGACCAAACAGCCACTCTATAAATGCATGGCACAACACACAAGAGTATATTTGCACCTAAAGGTTAAAGGTTACTCTTTGGAAGATGCCACATTTTGGTTTGGAAGAGGAGTAAAAGAGGCCGTCTCTGTAAACAGGCCGGTTCTGGTTTTACACTCAAAGAGCTTTTTACAATTCCTACAAGCACTTCTGTCTACATCAGTCCTCTCTGTCTGACATTCACACATTCATACTCTTATGGATGCATCTCATGAGCAACATGGGCTTCGCGTCTTGCCCAAGGATACATGGCGGCTGGAGCAGCCAAACCACGAACCTTCTGATTAGTACTTGACCTGTTCTGCCTCCTGAGCTCGACGTATTCAGTAGCGAGGACATTTTATGACTGGACCTGTTGCAAGGTAACATCCAATCACAGTAGCACGCTGGGATTCTTCGAGTCTGTACGCTGACAAGCCTGATTTTACACATCTGTGGCCAGGAGACTGATCGGAACACCTGAATTCAATTATTTAGATGGGCGAGTAAATAATTATGGCAATATAGAGTATTGCAATAGTATATGTAGTGTTAACGTCAAGGTAAAAAGATGCAACTTCCTCCCCAGGACTGCAAACAAACTATACCTGGAACATTATGCAGTAAACTAGTTGATTGTGCTGCACTCCAGATTTTACTGGAATAACAATAAGGACTCCTGGCCATATTTTCCACGACAGAGGAAATCGGTCATCACTGAAGGAAACAGGGTGGCTGATTCTGGACAGCGCTGGGAGAAAATCCCACAGATTTCCCTGCCATCCTCTTTCTGTATAGAAAGGCACATCTGTGCTCATGTCCCATTAATAATGACAGTTTATACTCACAGTGCTAAACAAAGAGACAAGCTACATCACCCTGGGCCTGTCTGGAAACAGATCCTCCCCACTGGGCCCCCCTGGAGGCACAGGCACTGAAACTGGACCTTTGAATGGCCCCAACTGGCCGTAAAACTTCACTTTGTCTTTTTATTATTGTTTGTTTTGTTTTCACTCATATGTTAGTAGGCCCTACACCTCAAACTGTCACTGCAAAGAAATAAACTACTTTTAGATTTATACCATTTAACAACGTTATCATTTGCTCAGAGGAAATAAACGTTTGATAGAAACTTTGTATAAATGCAAAGTAGCCATAAACCCAAGTAAAATCACTGGCTTTCTATGTCATTTTGTAATCCCAAGATTTCTTTTCAAAAGTACCGTGGCTCCAGAATTTGACACCCTCCCTGGGCTATATTTGGACTAAGACTGACATCCATCTTTAGCAAGAAAAGCACACAGCTTAAATTCCAGCTATTGTTGTGCTAACTGATGACCATCACTGACAGACATGATTAATATAAAATACTGTCTGAGTAGCTGGTGGTCTACAGGACACTTGTACATGTAGTCTGCCTCCTTTGACTGAGGTATAAGGGTTTAGGTGAGTGACTGACTTCAGGTCTGAGACTGCAAGCAAGCTCTGCACTAACCACCACGTGCTCATTTTTCCTCCTGTTAAATGCATTATGCTGGCCCTAGTGAAAGGGGTCGAGGAGTGAGTGAGTGAGTGTGTGTGTGGGGGGGGGGGGGGCTACAGCAAACAGAGGAAGGGAAAGTCGGCTCCCTGTGGATCTTTAAACACCGTGCAGGCTGTTAGGTGCTTGTTGGTGTAGCTGTGATCAATTGGAGGGCAGCGCTGAGGGCAACTTTAGAAGCAACAGATGTGAACAGCCACCGAGAGCCCTTCACACTGTTATCTCAGAGAAGATAAACGCATGTAACACCTGTGCAACTTCTTAATGTTGTACTTTGGAGATGCCACAGTGCTTTGTTTAAGAGCAAGGGAGCATCTCTTTGAATAAGAGCGCTGGAAATACATATATCTATACTTAAATGAGAGATTCACTGATGCTTTATCATGACAGTCTCTACTATTACCTCTGTGATCTCTGCATCCAGAAAACACCAATACACTTATATCACCAGCTGTAGAGAGAATCGTCTAAAATTATTTTCCAAAAGAAATTAATTGTGTGTGGTGGGGGGCAGCGCAAAAACATTTCTGTTTATCATTAAAAAAAAATAATCTTTTCATCATTTTAAGCGACTCTTACTTCTTCCAGGATCTGGTCGAGACGACCCAGGATGACGGGCTCCACCTGTTCCACGGACAGCATCCACGCAGAAAGCCGCTGCTGTTCCAGACTTAATATCCTGGACTGCAGCTCCGACGTCCGCACAAACACTACGATCCAAACTCCAACAGACAGCACGGACACCGCGATGCAAAACGTCACGCAAGACAAATCTCTCCACAGCGGCTGCTTCAAACCAACGCGCCTCTTTTCACCTGGTTTACCAGCGACTCCCCACTTCTTTTCCTGTTCCATTTCAGACATGTGAGTGTGGCTCTATGCACCCAACAATCCCCAAGCTCATCAGGTGTACAGTTGCGCAGAAAGAATCCTGGCGATCTGTAACTTTGCAGGAGGCTGTTTATACTGAGTAAACTCTGCCGTTCTTTACCAATCTGGCTGCACTCATATGAGTAATTACATAAACCTTCAAAACCGAAACATTCCGCGTCCGAGTCTTCCGCTGTCTTACTCCTTTGTGTTCGGCTCCGTTTGTCCCATTCGCTACTTCAGAGCGATCCCACTATGTGCTACAGGACAGTCCCTGTAACCCGAACCAGTCTCCCGCTCCTCTGTACAACTCTGGAAGTCGCCGGCTCTTTGCTCACACTGCATGCTCCTCCTCTGAGAGGTTTTAGGTTAAATGGCGGGGCGGGATTCGCCAGTGTTGCTACCCCCTTTGATCCGTGTACTTGGACAGGGGTATTTTTAGGTGCGCAAAGCCAGGACGCAAAGTCACACAGCGGGTATACTGAGTGCCCGCTGACTGCTGCTCAAAACAACGCACCACAATGATCTCGTTTAGAGGATCTGCTAGCTTCTGTGAACTTGTTCTGTGCAGATTCAAGTTCGCCACGCCAGGATAGATTATATAGCAACACACTAGAGTAGTTTGGAGTGATTTACAGTTCACAATAAGCTTCATGGTGCCCGCTCAGTCGCCTGTGAACTATGAGAAAAACAGAAACTCTGTTTTAAACCTGTGGTTCTCAAACTGTTTTCTGACACAGTCCACATAAGAGTAGTTCAAGCTGCACAACCCACAACTTTAAATAACAACAGAATCCAAGTTTACACCAAACATGAGCCAGGACAATATCATCTATGAACTTTTATTTCTTTCTTTTCCCTCAAAGAGCAACATCATTTCTGTTTGGGGTTTTTTAACCCTTGTATGGTGTTCGGGTCTGTGAGACCCGTTTTCAGTTTTTTTCAAAAGAAAAATTTAAGAATTAATTATTTTTTCAACCTGAAATTCATTGGCTTTGGCTTATTTTCTGTGAAGAACATAAATCCGAACTAATTTTCAATGACCTCATACTGTACCTCCCCCCACGCATTTACATTACATACAAGGTGTTCGGGTCCACTGGACCCAGGTCTAATAAAAGTGTTGAAAGTGTAGGTCCTGTGTTCCCACACTCTGTCTTCCTCCTTTCTGGTGCTGCTGATAGTGTTTTCTTCCCCTCCTGCTCCCCACAAAGTTGCAACATTGTTGAAAATTCAACTACCAACACCGTCTGCTCTTACATTCACACACATTTTACCCTCTTTCTTGAGGGATCCAAATTTTATTTTCTCATACCCTGTCCCACCTGCAAATTAGGGGCATAATACTATAAATAAGACTTTGCCAGTGTGGTTCCTTATCACAACCAATCAAGATGGCAAAAGATTATCTGCTGCGAGGGCCATCCAATTGATTTTGGAAGAGAGAGGGGCTTCTGATGATGATGTTGACAAAGAGGTTTCAGAATATTTCACATTTCTGAAAATTCAGAGTCTGACAGTGACTTTGAAGAAGAGGATGAGGTTGAGCACCATTTAGTAACAAAACGAAGATGAGTACCCCATCTGCAGCCAGCTCCAGGACCAGAACAAGCCCACCAGACAGCAAGTGAAGAAATATGGATGTCAATAACTGGTGAAATCGAATGGTGTTCTTGCCCAAGAAATGAGCCACCCTGTAGAGCTGCTACTGTGATAAGCCAGGGCCAACACCGCTGACAGTTACTCATGTGCAGGACATGAAGTCTTCATTTGAGCTTTTCATCCCAGATTCCATCCAGAAAATTATTCTGGATTGCAGTAATCTAGAAGGAAGGTGTGTTTTTGGAGAGAGGTGGAAGGAGATGGAACAAATTCATCTAAGAACCCCAAAGGCCTACTTTGGGGTTCTTATCCTTGCAGGAGCTTTCAGGTCCAAAGGGGAATCCACAGAATCCCTGTGGGATGCAGAAACCGGCAAGAACCTTTCCGTGCATCAATGTCTCTGGAAAACTTCCACAAAATTTCCAGGATTATCTCTTTTGATAACCGAGACGACAGACCAGCTCGACGGCAGAGAGACAAGCTAGCTGCCATCAGGAGAGTGTGGGATAAGTGTGTGCACCACCTCCCCCTGTTTTACAACCCTGGGCCTAATGTCACCATTGATGAGCAGCTGATCCCATTTAGTTGTGAAACATATTGTTTCACGTGTAAATGTGTTGTGTCTTTCCACTCACTCCACTTGATTATAACTGATTTATTTTTTTATAACATTTTATAAAAAAAAAAAAAAAAACGAGAAGCACATTAATTCATAAATGTGATCTAACAAAGGTAAAGGAAAAAAATTAACCATGTTTGCTGTTCATATGGCTTGTAATTGGGATGAAGTAAACATCTGATGAGTAATTTAACAAAAAATTGTTTGATAGTGTTAATTTGGAAAGCCAAAACTCTGGCGGGTCCACCAGACCCATGAACACTGGCTGAGTAACAAAAACATGAACACCACACAAGGGTTAAGTGGAGAGTTTCTGCTTTAATTCAAGAGGTTAAACAAACCATTAAGCCTTTAGGAGTAACCACCATTTTTATAGAAAGTCCACAATTTTCAGAGGCTCAACAGTAATTGGACAATTGACTGACAAGCAGTGCCATGTGGGAACTCTCCCCTCAGTGTTTCGTGATAAATGACACAGACTTGGGGAGAAAAAGGTGTTTGTGCTAGAATAATAAAAAGGTCCAAAGAGTAAAGGAGGCCATCATCAGGTTATACTGTTTCTCTTTATATCCATATTCAAAGGCTTTGTCTGTTCCAGTATCTGTGTTTTGTCTTGTTTCACTTTATGTTGAGTTATGTGAATTTCTCAGTGTTAAGCAATTATTCTAGATAGTGATGATTTGTTGGTTTTCACATGTGTTTAGTGTTTGGGCCTTCTTGGTTTTACTTATTGTGGTTCTGCTTTTTGGGCGGACCAAAATGCAGAGATGGAACATGAACTCAAACAGCTTTATTGCTGAAAGCTACAAACTGAAAGTACTGGCCAATAAACCCCCTGGTGTGGAAACTAAGCCACAGAACATGAAGCACACAGCACAGGGGGAAACATGGCAGGAAGACTGATGACGTGACAACAGAGACAAACTGAAGACTTAAATACACGGGATAACGAGAGGATGGGCAGCAGGTGGAAACACCAGGAACAAATCTGACTAATGGGATAGAAGCAAAACTGAATGTCACACATGAGACGAGGTAGCTTCAAAATAAAGCAGGAAGTGACACACACTGTGAGACCCAGGCAAAGACACACACAAGAGAAGGACACAGAGAACAAAGAGACAAGGGGAAACTAAAACACAGAATAAACCCAAGAATGAAAAACGAAGCTTAAACATAAACCATAATACAAAATGACACCAAATACAAGAAACCATGACATTGACTGTATTCTATCCCTTGTTTAAGTTATCGTGGTTCCTCTGTGTTTCCCGTGGTTTGTCAGGTTGTCATCTTTGATTCCACATTTAGTTACTTTCTACTGTATTCTATTAGTCATTTGTCTCGTGGGAGCTGTGTTTACTTTTGCTTCCTTTGTCCTGTTTCCACCACAAGTTTCAGTTGTGTTCCCACCTGTTTCTATTCCCATGTTATCTCATGAACCTCTAGTTTTTTGGTCCACTTCTGGGTCTTGAGTTCTGCATTTGGGTCTGAAACCTGCTTGCAACACAGAGCTACATGATGACCATCATCATCAGACATCAGCCTGCTGGAGCAGTTTCTGCACTGTGAGAATGTGAGACTCCAAAAGACTCTTTCTGACATGTGCCCAGAGAATCCCAGACTATTGGAGGTGCTGCACACATGGCTAAGGGACCTAGTCATTGTCACCATCCGTCCTCTCACGGCTTCTGTCCTGAACTCCACACCTCTGCAGTCTGCAGGCTTTCTGCTGCAGGTTTCTTCCTGTTAAAAGGGAGTTTTTCCTTCCCATTGTCACCAAAGTGCTTGCTTGTTGGGGTCATATGTTGTTGTTGTTTTTTTTCCTCTGTATGTATTATTGTAGGGTCTACCTTACAGTACAAAGCACTTTGAGGCGACTGTTGTTGTGATTTGACGCTGTATAAATAAAATTGAATTGAAATTTCATAATTCTCACTCTTTCTGCCCGACTACTCCTCATCAGCCAGCTCCTTGCTGCTCCACCTCAGACTCACTTGTCTCCCTGCTAGCCAGTGTTGTTTAACTGTCCTACTCATGAAGGTGGAATATCCAACACAAAAGCAGCACCAGCCAGAGCTTCCATCCCTGCCTCCACCTAAGCTGGTTTCCACATTCGTGTTTGTCGGGTCTCTATGACATCCTCCTCAGTGAGTAAGACGGAATTTGCTTTTCTCCCCAACTTGCTTGTTCAAACACTAATCCTTGTGTTTTTTAGCATATGAAATGTGAAACAGAGTTTTTTGGTTACCAGCTTGTAAAGTTAGAGACTGAGTTTTTTGTTGCTTCTTTAATACAACCTGAACTTTTTCTACGTGTACTTCATATTGAAACTGCTCATTGTGTGCTTCATTCTGAACCTGCTGGCCAAATACCTGACCTAGCAACTCTGAAAAGCTAAACACAAGTACTTGCCTTCTTGCTAGTCTGTACTTTATAAGTTTACACGGGACTCTGAAATTCCCGAGAACGCAGCGCGATCATTCTACATTCAAGCGTACTCGATGACATCACAAACTTAATCTCTCCTATTAAAAATAGCATATATGTATGGACAGCTCACGCTGCTTATTGAATAAAAAGCAAACAGGTCTGATGTTAAAACGCTTTTATTTTTATGTCAGTAGATATTAATAAATTAAAATAGATGTCTGCTCGGGTTTGGAGAGAACAGAGCAAATATCTAAAATATCATTTTATCATTTTTGGAGCAGCCTTCAGGATCTCCACGCATCAACATGCAGTTTCTGCTCCCGGATAAAATGTTTCCTGCTGAGTTTAAATATTCCCAACATTAAAATTAATTCATTTATACTGACAGCTCTGCAAGTAAGGCTTTAAAATTAAATAGAATGATCAAGTTGTGAAGCTAAAGTTTAATCTCAGCCAAACCGATTTGCTCAGAAACAAATAAAACAAACACCAAACCAAAGCTCTGAAACCATGCCGGGAGTTTGCTGTTCTCTCTTTTTTTTTTTTTTTTTTT